CCAGGTCTTGCTGCAGTCTTTCCCTCCCTACTAGCGTGCAACTAGGGTTGCAGGAATATCATTTTGTTATTTTATTTGCAAAAGTCAGGGCCACCTCTCTCTCATCCATCTGCCTCTTAACCTACCCATTGTTAGTTAGCTTATGTGCATTGCTACGAAAATAAGACCCAAGATTAAAAAGTAAGCCTTTTTTGGTCTGAAAATAACATTATTGTGCACTTCCACAGTACTTTTCATCAGAGGATTTCAAAGTACTTTACATTCATTCATTCATATCCCCTCCCCTGTGAGTTACGTATGATTGGATAATACACAAAAAACACCAGACAATACACAGTTTACTAAAATCATTGGTTATTCAAATGCTAGCTGTGCTCCTTAGGGTCATGCAGTACTCTACTGATGTTCAAACTCTTCACCCAGATCAATGCATAACAGACATTGTGTGACATGGGGGCAGAAACAGCCAGATTAAAACACTCTGAACTGGGAAACCCAGAACATAGAAATGAACTATGAAGCAACTGAAGATGGGCCAAGAGCCAAAGTGCAGCCCCTTTAAAGGTCATCAATCTGCAAGCTGCCTAGCTTCACTGTGCTTCAGTGCTGGCTGGGCAAGCCATAGCATAATCTCTGAAATCAGCCGATACACTCCAACAGCAAAGTAGCTGGCTTTTGAGAATTTTCTAGGCTAAGGCCCTAGAATACACAGACAGTATGTGCTAGGCAACTTGCTCAAAGATCTTTGCAAAATTAACAGTATTGTATATGCCTTTTTTCTTTGAGGTGCAGAATGTCTGCCACTACACTGAATATAAAGGGAGATGCAGTTGCTCAGTAGTCTGTAAATCAGATCATAAAGTTATACAATTGGATCCTGGGTTTGTATTTTATCTGGTCCTAGCTCCTTGAGTAACTACTTGCTCAGTAATGGGTTAAATAGATATGGATGCCTAAATTACTGAGTTAAAAGCAGCAGCCAAAGTAGATTTAAGAACTGCTAAAATTAATTAGGTTAAAAAAACCACTGTACTGGAAGTAACAGCAAAATAATGAAGAAAATAAATAGTATTTCAGTGATACAAACTAAAGAAAGTTTGGTAAAGAACAAACATAAAGATATTAAAAGAACGAAATACGTAGAGCCTGGCCAAGTAAAGGCTAAATAGGGTTTGCACACAGAAACTAAAAGAGTATCAACTGAGACTGTTTAGGGTGGGGTGGGCAATTATTTTAGGTGGAGGGCTGCTTAATTAATTTTGGGGAGCTGCTGAAAGCTGCAAGGGTAGCCCTGCCCTTTGACAGGTGCTGCACCCCCTGGTCACCACCTTGAGACCAGAAGTCCCACCTCTAACCCCCGACCTTTACCACCAGAAGTCCCTGTGGGCTAAATCTAGCCTGTAGGCCTTATTTTGTTCACACCTGGTTTAGGGTGTTTATAGATTTTTTTTTTTTTTTTTTTTAGGGTCGGCAAGGACCTATTAGATCATGGAGTCCGACCCCCTGCCCTGGGGGGTAAATGGATTCTAAATGTGTTCCAAATGGATGCATCATAACTAGGAGCAATAGGATGAACAAAGGGAAATTTAAGTAGGGTATTCGCAAGATCTACTTCACTGCTGATTTAGTCTTCTAAGGGAACCTGTGAATCCCGTCACTTGTATCATTTAAAACTGAGCTGAACAAAATGCTGAAAGATTTTCATGGAACAATATTGGACTGAGGGAAGAATAAAAGTTTTATTTAAATGGTCTATATAAATGTCTTCCACACAGCATCCTCTAGTTGAAAGCCTGAAGTTTATGACAAAATGATCTGACAGCATACTGTTATGTTATATAAGATTATCATCACTATCAAACAGGGGGAACATGAAACTGAAGTAAAATGTATAGAATAATAGCAAATGATACAGAAGTATTACATCTTGTTTATATTTTCAGTTTTAAATCTGTACTTATTTCAAAACGGTGTCTCTGTACATGTAGTGTTTAATGTTAAAGCTAGATTTGCAATTTTTAATGAGTTCCACATTAGTTTTTAAAGGGACACCACCCATTTTGAAGCACACAGGGAGTAAAATAGTTTCAGGTGCTACCCCTACTGCTGAGTTACCATGCTACATTTTGTGAGTTAAAAAGATTCCTTGGTATTTATGTGGCTTTTCATACAGCAACTAGGAAAACTTACTATGAAGAACTCATGAAATGCTTATGTATAAAATTAATACATTAAACAAAAAATCTCTCTTACCCTTCAGCGACAATACTCTTAGGCATTGCTTGTCACAATTGCAAGAGAGCATATTTCAGATAGACTGTTCCTTTAAATTTTAAATAAAACAACTGATTATGGGGAACTGTCATTCCAAGTATAAATATACCTATAATGTAACAAAGCTGAGAAGCCCAAAAAAGAGGCATCCATTTTCACAGTCGTTAAAGCTCAAGAAAACTTCTATGCTCAGATATGGCTACTATAGCACTAATGAACATGACCACTAATGTCACTATTTTCTGCTCTGCTCCTCTGTATATTCTTTTGCACAGGGAGATATTTATAAATATCACTTGGATGCTGCTGCTAGACACTAGGATTCTTGCATCACAAGCTGGCTGCTGTGACACCTTCTTGCAAAATGCTTTAAACAAATTACTTTTCACTTGCTCAGAGTTTTTCTTAAACAATAATCAAAATAGCCAGCTTGTAATATAAAAGCACCAATGCCTAGCATAGGCAGTACAAAGGCATCCTTGATTCTGCATCTACAAGTGACCTAATATGGGAAGGCAAAAAATACTAGTATTACATGAAGACGGAACTGTGCCAGCTGCCTGCAGTGATTCCAGCAGCCAGCTTTAAAGTTACAGTGGGTATGTATGTTTCTTAAAGCATGTCTCTGGATATCACTGGAGATGCCCAGGTTCCATGCATGCAATACCAGATTCTTTCAGCCAGCAACGTCCACTGGGACTAAACCCTGGAAGGCAAAATGAGTCCTACTGTCTTAGCTCCATCTTGTCACCCATGGCAGTGAGACAGAACAGCTCTTACCTTTAGATTTCAGATTAGTGTTAGAGTTAGGCAATTATTTGATATTCTGGCTTCCTAGCTTATTGATAAGGACCGTTCTTCATGTGATGCACTGGAAAGATAGGCATTTAAATGGCCCCTTCCCCTGTCTTTTGCCCTGAAGAATGCCATATTTCTATATGATTTTTCTCGCACCTCATGCAGAAAGCTTGAGATACCCAAGGGAAGTCGCTTCTATTACACTGCTATGGACTACTCACATAAAATAAGACCTTTGACTTGTTTTATAAAGGTCACTTTGACTATCTGTAGCATTTAAAGATGGGTCTAGGGAACAAGGTACTTGAAAAGGGCATTGGATTGAGCTAGGATTCCCTATGAACTAAGTAAAATATTTCTTCAGTTATAGCAGCCATCTAGGCCCAAATCAACCTTCTTGGCATGTCTGAGGAATGTCCCTATCACAATTTTAAAGGATAGCCACTTACAGCAGAGCATGCAGTTTTATTTCATGTCACTCCCTAGTTGCTGCTATGAGCCCTGATTTGTAGAGCATTCCTATAGTCTTAATTCAAGGTTGATCCCTGGCACCCCCCTCCCTCCCACCACAGGGAGATAACTGCCAGCCACTCACCTCCAGCAAGATTCATGCAATCCTATCAGAAGAAACAGTTACTTGTAGTAGGGCAATGGCCTGTCAAGAAGACAGTTAAATCACATGGACCCCTAGAAACTACCTCCTTCACTGCTAAACATGGACCCATTGTAGGCAAGGTTCCATGTCAGTCAGGGGTACAGGAAGCAACAGGGCTTGTTTTTCCCTTTCAAAGGCCCTTGGGGTTGTCTTGCTGCGCAGACCACAAGTGCAGCACCCACCACAGCGCTGGCCGGAGGGATCTGCTTACACGTACCAGTGCAGCAAAAAGGGGTGCAGGAAGTTCTGCCTCTACTCCCCTGGAATTAGCCCTAAACCCCAGCCTCACATTTATTTGGCCCTAAATCAAGCAGGTTGGACCAAAGCTATGCCTTGGTGAGCACGGATGAGGACACTGAATAAGGCTGGGCCACTGCTGATTCCCTAAGGCGGCCGAGTGGGTCAGTGGGGATTATATAGGGGGAGATCAGAAGTAGCACCATTTTTGGGGAAATCAGCTCGGGTAGGAAACAGCAGTCCCTGAGCACACCAGGAGCGGGAAGACAATGCCGGTGCCCCCCGAGCAGATCGCATAGAGCCGCCCAGTGACGACGCGCGGAGGGGCCTCAAACCCATCTGGGCGAGCGGCTCGGCTCAGCCCGAAGGTGGCTCCGGGCCGCTCCCGCGGGAAGCAGCACACGTGGGTCCCCCGGCCCCCGCCCCCACGCAGCGCCCAGCTCCGGCCGGGCTGGGCGGCGCCGTGACGCGGCCCCGGAGGGGTGGGGGGAGGTGCCACGTGTCCGGGCGCTGCGCTTGGGGCGGACCCGCGCCTCCCGCGAGCCAGCGCCTCCGCTCCGCAACCAGCAACCGCGCGGAGGGCAGGGCGGCCAGACCGGCACCGCCCGCGCACATCGCGGCCTCAGCGGGAGAAACAACCGCCCGGGAGGGAGGTCCTGCCCTGCCTAGCCGTAGGAGCCTAGCTGCAGGGAGGCCGCGGCCGCGAGGCTCTGGGGACCGTAACTCCCAAGTCGCCCGGACCCGCCCCAAGACCCCCCGGCGAGACCTGCCTGTTATCCGTGACTCACCCGCGCGGGGGAAGGAGCGGGGTCACGTCACCGCCCTACCCTGCCCTGCCCTGCCCTCCCCCGGCCCCTTTTCTCGTGCCCCTCCCCCCGGCGCAACAGCGAGCGACTACAGCACGCATGCGCCCCCGCCGCGTCTTGACGCTTGCTCGCCGCCAACCGCAGCTCCCGTTCCTCCGCCCCCTCCGGCGATTTGAATATGCTAATGAGAGCGCGGCGGGAGCCCTATGGTGCGGCGGGCAGGCCGTCACGTGTCGCGGGGACGTGTCCGGCGGGGGCGGTGCCCGACCTGCCCAGGCTGCCTTAAAAGGGGGAGTCGAGCGAGGAAGCGCCTCAGTCAGAGACAGAAAGTGCCGGGGTGGGGGTGCGCGCGGCGGCTCCACCCCAAACTTCTGAGTTACATCCACAGGGGGGAGGGAGCGGCGACCGCAGCAGCAGCCGGGCAGCCCCCGCCCGCTGCGCCTTACACCCCGCGCGTCCGAGCCGAGCCGGG